TCCCCGCCGCGAAGAATCGTTGTTACAACCAAGTACACATTTTACTGTTGCGTTAAACAGAGGCTACAGTTAGGGATTTGCGCCCAGTAAATCCTCCCCGGCCAGGATACGAACCCATGACAAAGCGCTCGCGGAACGCCAGGCGAGTGTCTTACCACTACACCACGGAGACTGAAGTTTTAGTGATAGTTCACCAGTTTCGTCAGAGAATCTGTATTGATGTCTGGCGTGTGTTTGACTACACATTATATGTATTTAGGTACACGATTGTTTCTTAAATTATACAAACAGTAGAGAGTTAATGTGGTTGACAACTGGTCATTGAAGTGGGAAGGGAACTATCATGGGGGGGAAAACGCCAAGCCATTACGACTATATAGCACTGGGAAGGGGATCAGGATAAGGATTTGGGATGGAACGGGAGAAAAGGAGTAGTGCCCAACCACTTTTGGACAGTCGGGGATTGAACGACATCCTGCATGAAGGTAGACCGTCGCTCTACCGTCCAGCCCAAGAGGCGGGCAACTGGACATTGAGTGTGGGTCTTTACTCTCATATAATGGTATAATTGGCATGTATAATTCACTGAGTGAAAAGCTTCAGTGGAATGCCAAGATGTGAATCAGTTTGTCAACATAGTTTTTCATTTGTGTCATGTCCTCGTCTCAGTGAATAGTGTAAACTTTACACTGGAAAGAAGTATTCTTATTGTGCGTGTTTTGAGTTCAAAAAGAAATGTATATATGTGTGTGTTGTCAGCTATTGTGAAAGAAATGTTGTGATTTGAATACAAATGTACGTTTTAAGCACAATGGAACATACATCTTACAAATGTTTATTCTGGCTGTATGTGTATGTGTGTGCTTTTAATGTTTTAGAGTGTTTAAAGTGTGTTTGAAATGTGTTTTCAGAGTGTGTTTTAGTGTGATAGTTCGTGAGTTGGTGTTATTCTGTGTGTGGGGACATCAATCCATATGCCCGACATTCGGGACATATGCCCGAAACGCTTTGCGTAATAGTGGCTTTAGGCATTGTATGTACTAGCTATACCTATAAGTTAAACAATCCTTGTAAATATTTATTGTATGTATGTACCTTACCTAAATAAAATTGTATTGTATTGTAATCAACAGCCTGAACAGCTCTGCGGATTCCGACGGATTCCTCTGTGTATGAAACTTTGTCTTATGTGTGTATATTTATTGTCGAGTCTATACATTACATTGTGGCTCAGTGGGTCTTGTTTCATGGCCCATGTGGCCTCTAATTGGCCACCTGCTTCACATACCTTGAGGTTACCTTGAGGTGCTTCCGGGGCTTAGCGTCCCCGCGGCCCGGTCGTCGACCAGGCCTCCTGGCCTCCTGGTCCATAGCTATCATCTGTCACCCCCCCCCCCCTTACCACCTGACACACAAAAGACAACAGGATTCATCGTGCCAAAGCGGCTCCGCTCTGGCACCTTACCCTATGCCGTGTCACTGACCGCCAGTCGTGCGGTTATCAGCAAAAAACGTTTTATGTGGCTAAGCGTATTTTTAACGTCGTAAGCACTGTAATTATTGGATTATAAGACCTGACCTCTGACCCGTGGTGGTTTTGGGGGAAGAGATTAAGAGCAATGATTCACGTGTTTCAACTTCCTTATTTCATCTCTGGTCTCGTGGTGTCCATTACGTGGGTTTGTATTTATTTATGAGATAAATGTGTTTGTAGATTATATTCTTTTTACTGGGATTTGGACTTATAGTTTAATATAACTTTCATGGCTAAAGGAGACTCGTCTGACCTCAAAATATTCGTCAAATTCTCTTATAAACTATACAAATTGTTATCGTCCCCTAAAGGCGATTATTTTAGAACCGTTCTATAATACAAAATGTATATAATATGTATATAGTAGATCTATATTTTTTCTATGTTAATGGAAATGTTTGTTTCTCTGAGGATGGAAGTCAGACGTTTGTGGCTAGCTTCACTAAATTGTTCCCAGTATGGAGTAGGGGAGACGAGAGGTAACACGTTGGTACTTGCTGACACACCACCACCACTATCACCACCATCAGCACCACCATTACCACCATCTCCACCACCACCACCAGAGAGAGAGAGAGAGAGAGAGAGAGAGAGAGAGAGAGAGAGAGAGAGAGAGAGAGAGAGAGAGAGAGAGAGAGAGAGAGAGAGAGAGAGAGAGAGAGAGAGAGACAGAGAGAGAGAGAGACAGAGACAGAGACAGAGAGAGAGAGACAGAGACAGAGACAGACATACAGCTAGACAGACCCCGGGCACCGCCGGAAACCCCCCTTCTATCTACATATATAAGAGATAATATCTGTTTATTCATATTTGTTTGTCTATTGAAGTTTGGAAAATCAGTAGTTATGAAATGCGCAACAGAAAGTCCGTAGAGTTCAACATTTTCTTAACAATGCTGGATGCTTCAAAAGTTTACCAGTGCAGACTACTGGTCACGTGCCTCTGTATGACTAACCATCCTGTGTGATGGACAACTTTTAGCATCGCTTAGCAAGTTCTTGACACACACTGTACTCCCCTTCATATAGTCTAGGGCAGCTGCACAAATGCACATGTACCTAAATATGATAATAATAATAAAAAAAATCGGTGTATTTCGGAGATAGATTTTTTGAAACGTGTGTTCAGATAACATGGTTTATATAACTATGATATAGATACCTATTGCATAGATAACCCATGGTATAGATAACCACAGTATCTATGGTTCACGCACCAGTCGTGGTCGACACAAAGATTACCATGCTTCAAGCAGAACTGGCGTTCGATCCCTTTAAGATCCGAGTATTTAGATCTTGTACCATCACACCATCCTTATCCTCCAGCTCCTTGTCCTCCCTCCCTCCCTCCATCCATCCCTTCCCTGTGCTATGTAGTCACAAAAGCCCTATCCCTATCCTCATATATAATCCCCCCCCTATCAACTCTCTGACCCACGGACTGCCCTGGACCATTATGCCCTGGACCCTGGACCTTGTATCCACCCTACAAGTCAGTGTTCCTTGTTAAGTCCACCCAGAAGCATGACACTTTGCCACAAGGGTACACACAGAGACTCGCACACCCACGGACTGCCCTGGACCATTATGCCCTGGACCCTGGACCTTGTATCCACCCTACAAGTCAGTGTTCCTTGTTAAGTCCACCCAGAAGCGTGACACTTTGCCACAAGGGTACACAGAGACTCGCACACTATGTAGACTTGATTTTATGTGAACAGCGCTGAGACACGCACCTGTGGTGTGTGGACGGACGCTGGGATTCAGGTAGACTGAACTATATTATTATTATTATGAAGAAGAAAATATGAATCAACGCTTCAATGGTCAAAATTCGTTTTTAATCACTCACAATTTCAGGGTAAAACACACACATATTAATACTCTGTTTTGTTACATTTTCCAGGAAGTTTGTAGTTGATTACAGTGTCTTACAGCACGTTCTTGAGCGGTTATTTCTCCAGGGGTCATTTGGAGACCTTTCTGCAAAGGTCACACCCTCCTGCAGGGTGTGACCTTTGACCTTATCCACTACCAGTAGAGCACCAGGGGAAGTATAGATCCTGATGTTCCACGAGAGCATAGAGGAAGTGGACGCTTTTGTTGCAATAGAGCTCAGGGTAAAGAGGTGTTGAGTGTACGAGTGTAACTCAAGGGTGTAACTCAAGGGTGTAACTCAAGGGTGTAACTCAAGGGTGTAACTCACCTCTGGTCCGGTCTTGTCAAGTACACTTACGCTACGAATTATTACCAAACTTTCCCCCCTGCGTGTAATTCAGTGAGTAACGAATTTTCAAGAACTCTTATGTGGGAACTTTTGCTGTAGTTTGTGTTGTTAATGTGAGATCTTGACGACTGACTGCTTATTTTGCAAGTGAATTATGTGTATTATGTACACGGGAGAGAAAGAAGAAAATATTAAAAAGCATTTTACAATTTGCTGCCACAAAAGTGAAAAGTTGTCCTAAGATATTCCCGCCACAGATGAAGAACACATAACTGTAATTGTTGATGTGATTAACCTACGAAGAGGTGGTAATATTTACCTGAATTTACCTGAGGGCCACTAATACTAATGGCCTCGCTGAGGATATCTATACAGAAAACGACAAGAAAGTCTGTGAGGGATCCGGCGGAAGGTTACACTAGGGTGATTAGAAAACAATCCTGAATGGAAAAAAATGATTGGGAAAGCATTATAATCATTTGACAAAGAAATAAAGACACCTGACTGACCTAGACTGCAAAAAGGTGTTTGGTTCTCCACAAATCAAGATCCTTAAAACACAAAATTAGATTTAAAAACACCCTCGGGTATCTGAACAAATACTAACATCGTTTTCGTTCAGACGTCGTCGTCTTCGTCTTCGTCTTCGTCTACATGTTCAAGAACGCAGCCGAATCCACAGATACCGGTCTCCCTAACATTCATTCCCTGAAGATTACTTAATAACATCATCAGGAAGATACAAATGTAATTAAAAAAAGCTTAATATATACATATACCCTGTAAGTCTTGGCTGACAAGTCTACCGCAATCTTAAGCCAGGCTCACGAAGATAAGACGGACGAGATGTGTGCGCATAGATCGATTTTATTTGTATTACAGACATTCTTGAGACTATTTATTACACACACACAACTAGTAGACAAGATCCACAAACAGGATGGAATTACTGGAACGGAGCTAGACTGGCAGGATGACAGACTGGGAAGATATTAGACTGGGAGGATACCAGACTGAAAGAATACCGGACTGGAAAGATACTAGACTGGAAAGATACTGGACAGGAAAGATACTAGACAGGAAAGATACTGGACAGGAAAGATACCTGGCTGTCAAGAGATTATAGCAGGAAACATAGTGACCTTTCACACTACACGCTACCCTCCTCCAGGGTGACCTTATCAAAGAGAGAGAGAGAGAGAGAGAGAGAGAGAGAGAGAGAGAGAGAGAGAGAGAGAGAGAGAGAGAGAGAGAGAGAGAGAGAGAGAGCGAGGGAGAGAGAGAGAGAGAGAGAGGAGAGAGAGAGAGAGAGAGAGAGAGAGAGAGAGAGAGAGAGAGAGAGAGAGAGAGAGAGAGAGAGAGAGAGAGAGAGAGAGAGAGAGAGAGAGAGAGAGAGAGAGAGAGAGAGAGAGAGAGAGAGAGAGAGAGCTAGCTAGCTAACAACCTCTCAACCTCTCCCCTACCAAACAAACCACTTCACACACACTTCCATCTGGCCTGACGACAGGGCTTCTCTCCGGTCTGCATCCCTTCCACCCACATACACACAAAAAGGTTAATCCATTGAGTTTACTCCCGACAGCGATAAATGGCCGCCCACTGAGGGCTTCATTAAATATTTCACAAGATGCCAGGCGGTATCGACATCATTCTGAAGGTCAAGAAAGCCGGAGTTCTTTGTTATCGTGGAGGCGGCTGCGTTATCGTCGTGGAGGTGACTTTGTTATCGTTGTGGAGGCGGCTTTGTTATCGTCGTGATAACGGCTGCTCGAACTACTCCCGGCTTTGAAATTTCAGAATTTTGAAAATTCTGAAACGGTGAAAACATTCATTGGACATTTTTTGTGACGAATTCATAAAGGATAGTTTTTTCGTTCCTCTCCCAAACATGAATAAATTGCAGGAACGGCACAGATGTCGAGGCTGCTTCGTTGCACACTGCAACAGATGGGAAGGGTCGCACTGAAACAGATGGGAAGGAACGTGAAACAAGTGGAAAGGGACGCAATAAAACAGGTGGGGGGTAGCCAAATAGGTGTAGACTCAGGGGGGGGGGGGCTAGTCAACTGACTCATCGTAACCGCCTTCAATAAACCTTCGAGTACTGTAGTGGTCACCAACACTGGTACTTCAATACAACACCCTACAGTAAGTGCCTATATACAACACTTTCCTTGTGTTGCTGACCATTGTAAGCCTATGGTAGCGTCATATATATATATGGTATAGCTGTTGTCATATCCCCCTTGACCTCTTATAGTATGGTATATCAGCCATTAGCTAATGGTGACCTACCTGTCATCTTGAAGGCCCAAAGGACTTGGTCTTCTTGAAGCACCTTCCTCATCATCTGCAACTCTGTGTGCAGTTGTAATATGTGCAATGATGATCTGCTACATTTATCACCGCTTGCAACTGCGCCTCCGCCGCGTCCCGTCACCGCAGGCAAATACCGCGGCTACCGCAAGCGGTGGTTCCAGTTCTTTAAAGCATTTTTTATAAGTCTTTGTTCTCCCGACGGCGTGTCAAACCCTTTCACAAGTTTGAGTCAATTTTTTTTGGGGGGTTATGTTTTGTAGATGGAGTTTGGAAAAGTTTGTAGATAGAACTGATACATATTTGATGTTCTCGTGTATTACATTTCGTCTTTTATATTCTCAGTGCGATATATTTTGTAATTACTTCTGACATATACTGTTATTTATATTTTAGTTCATGTTAGGTCAGGAATTTCTGCCTCTCTTGCCTCCTCCTAAGGACATCTTTCTCCCCCGTCAAGGGAATCTTCCATATCGGGAGTTTTCGACATCATGCTAACATAATCTGTTAATATGTAAGATTTCTGTTCTGTCAGGATATGTAAAGTAAGACGACGTGTACACCATACAAGGATCAGACACCGACTGCCGACGTCACCACAACAGAGCCGTTGCCAGGAGTGTTCTCGCTGCCGCTTCTCGCCCAACATGTTGTCGTACACAAGGGAACAATGTATAGTATTAAATAGTGTAACGGAATGGGGGCTATTGGGTTTAAATTGGGAAACGAGATGTGGTGTGTGATTACCATAGACTTTAACCGTCATTTCTCAGGATTTGGGGATAAAATGGAGCACCTCCTAGGATAAAAACTTCTCTTGATGATAAATTGTCATTCACATTTCCGTGGAAATAAACATTCCATTCACCTGGGTTCTAGGAGACTCGAACCCTGGACCCCCACGCGTGTGTGAGGCCGAAGCTCTATGGACCGAGCTATTTGAGTAGTCTTGATAAGGACATTATTATTACATGACATGGGAGTGGATCACTAATTCCTCTGAGCTTCAGAAGTGGTCAGGGAAAAGTCGATAAATTCCAATTTGGAACCATGATGCTGCTTCTGGAAACTTTCCTTATTAAGATCACTCAATAGCTCGGGTGATAGAACTTCGCCCTCATACACGTAAAGGGTCCAGGGTTCGAGTCTCCTACAACCCAAGTTGAATGGGATATTTATATCCACGGAAGCGTGGATGACAGTTTATACAAACATATAAAATGAGTTACAAACAGTATGTTGGATTTGTTGACAGAGATAGTGTATATACTATGCCAAAAGCCCGAAACACTATGCATCTTAGTGGCCTTGTAAGAATGTAAATACACCAATCTTATGTAATCTCACATACCCACAGTACCTTCCTGTAAATATAATATTATTATTCTGCCCGAAACGCTTTGCGTAATAGTGGCTTTAGGTCATTATACAATACAATACAATACAATACAATACAATTTTATTTAGGTAAGGTACATACATACAATAAATATTTACAAGGATTGTTTAACTTATAGGTATAGCTAGTACATACAATGCCTAAAGCCACTATTACGCAAAGCGTTTCGGGCATGATGTATGTACTGGCTCTATCTATAAATCTAGCAATTTTTGTATAACCTCTTGTATATATATACTTTACCTGAATACACATTTATTTATATTTATTTATTATAAAGCCACTATTACGCACTAAAGCGACTAATCATAAAGCACTGAAGCCAGTTCTTCTAATGTTGCATTGTTAGTATTCTTAAAAACTCAGAGCCAATAATTTTGTTTACGTTATATAATAAGTCGCTCAAAGCACTAAATAACACGTTTATTTTTTTTAATTTATTCTCTAATTTTCGGTATATTTCCTTTGATTTTTCCACGCAGGTGCTGGTATTTATGAGGCCTGCGGGTGGCAACACTGGAGGAGCACAGCTGACCAAGATAAACAACAACAGGAGTCCAGCATGGCCGCCGCCAGCATCGCCAGAGCCCCGACCTTCTGGAGGTCTATAGTCTCCAGGACCTTTGCCACGGCCACTTCGAGATGCCAAGAAGCTCAGGCGAGAGCTGAGTTTTATACCAACGAGCACAAGGAATTACAGAGGTCGCTGAAGAAAGTGAGTCAGGGGGGTGGCATTGTAATCTTGGCTAGTGACCGTGACATATTTTGACCGTGATATCAGATATTTTCATTATAATACATACGTTAAAAACACTTACTACAATGTCATAATGTTTGAATGAAGGTGAAGGAAAGGCCCAATATATGTATAAGTGTATTAAAAGCAAATAAATCCACCTGATGGACTCAAAGTGAGGCTCTCTGCCAAATTTATAAACAAACCTAGAATCTTGTTCAGAACATTATTATACCGACGTTGAGAAAGGACACCTTATCCTCAGAAAGACGTATCTGCTTTGGAGAAAGTTCAATACCAGGTGACAAAAATCACTCTAGGATTAAGTTGCCTCTCGTACCAGGAATGGTTGAGAGCTACAGAACTAGCGACATTGCAAACCAGACATGACGGCTGATCTCATGGAGGCCTTTAAGCTATTGAACAATTTAGAGGATATTGATCCAGACAACTGATTAAAAAAGTCAGATGTAACATAAACAAGGAGCAACAGTTTCAAGCTCAATAAACTACAATATAGGACAAAACAGGAGATGCTTTTTCACCCACAGGGTTTTAAATTCATGGAACTGCCTACCCACTGAAGCCATAAATGCCAAAGCACTGCTGAATTTCAAAATCCCTAGATTAAATCAAAAGGACGAATGGGAGGACCTTTGGTAAACTGCAGACTTCCTGTCCTTATTGAGGTCACTAGAGAGAGATTGGCTCTCAGGTATATTCAGATTTATTTGAATATTACAACTGCTTAGTCTAACCAGTTGTGTATACTAAAAATTTATTTTATTTTCTAATTACATTAAAAAATACTTTTATTTTATTTAATTTGTACTTATTTATTTATATATTTGAAGGTACATTGGGTTGTGAGAATACATAACACTAGTGATTGAGTGTTACATAATTGCAAAGCCACTGATACAGCATTTCAAGCAGGTATTAAGTAAATAATAATTAAGTAAATAAGTAAATTAAGTAAATAAATAATTAAGTAAATAAGTAACTAAGTAAAAGTATTAATAGGTATGCTGAAAAAAGATTTATTACAGTTTTCTCTCTTTAGATAGCATTCTTGTTTCAGTATGGTATTGGCGTATGTGTAAAGAGATCCTGGTATTTTTGTTTATTTATTTACTTACTGCTGTAGGTGCCAAAAGCTTTTTAGGTACCATACTCATTATTGTATATTACACCATATTTCATATGCTAAGATATAATGGCCTGGGACACCTTTCTTGATTAGGTATGATAAAATATAACTATTTCCATTTATCTGTTACTGTAATCAATATTATCGTTGGCCACTTCTGCAGTCTTTGCTGCTTATGAAGTGTTAGAAATATTGATTGTCCTATAGTACCAGTTTCCATATTGATAATTTTTTAAATGTCAACAGCTGATTGACACAGAGATCAATCCCCATGTTGATCAGTGGGAGGCAGAACGTCAGTTTCCTGCCCATCATGTGTTTAAGAAGCTAGGGCAGGCCGGCTTCCTGGGAGTTACAAAGCCTGAAGGTTAGTACCTGTACAGTACGTCCTAACATGGTAATGGGTAGACAATGGCTTAAATTTTTATTGAGACCTGTTTGTTATTTCTAAGCATATGTATTTTGCAAATCTTTGAGATCCAGTGAGCTGCTTTGCTTTACAAAGGTTCGCACCAATCAGACATAAAGACTTGGCACTAGATTAACAGAACTGTTCAATCTGTGCAGGTTCAAAAATGTCCGTGAGAGAGACGCGAGAGAAAGTGTTGTAGCAGCAAGAATTACCCAAAAAACTCATAGACTCTGATCTCAAGGTGAAAGTCACTATCAATTATAGTAAACTTGTACTCTTCCCTGTCTATTCCCAGGTAGAAATGCCAACCCTGACTACAGCTTCCTAACTATCCATACCCTAACTAAATCCTGACTGCGCTTCACATCATTTGGGATGCAAAAACCAATTCCTAGATATGTGGTGACTGTTTTGTTGTCATCTACAGTATTTATACTGACTGAAGTGTGCTTCAGCTGTTTAACTTTGAATCTGGTACACAGGCAACATCTGTGGCTTTGATCACTTAAGTACTCCTAGTTTGTAATTCAGCATAGCTTTATCTGGCTATAGACTGCTTCACTCTGGTTCCTGGTTCAGCCAATGAAGCTCTTCCATATGGGCATTGGGATCCAAGTTAAACTGCTTCACTGATCTTTAAGTCTTCTGTTCCTTCTGTGCTTGTGAAGGGGCAGTCATTTCGAGCCTTTCTTGTTCAAATTTAGATCTCTGCAAAATGGTGTTTGGGTACTTCTCATACTCATAGAAATCTTTTGCTTTTTCCTGTCTAGTATGAGGCCAGGGTTAGATCAGTGGCTATCTTCAGTAGTTGGGTGTTCAAATGAACAAATGTAGTGTAGTGTAGTTGGGTGTTCTTTCTTAATCCATTGTTCCTTTCCTGCTGACTCAGGAGCACTAGTTTCCAAAGTCTATGACCTTTGATACTGATGAATGATGGGGTTAGGGCAGATTTTTATTCTGGTAGCTGGATCTTCTATCTTCAGTCTTGGCATTGTCATACAAGCCTGTAGTGTAGAATTGCATTAAGTACAGTACCAAGTGAGAAGGTGGTGGAGGCCAAAACCATCAGTAGTTTCGAAGTGTTATATGACAAAGAGTACTGGGAAGACAGGACACCACGAGCATAGCTCTCATCCTGTAACCACACTTAGGTAATTAATTACCAATTACTGTACCATATACAGATTTATTAGTGGTGAACATTTACTCAGAAAACAGACTTTGAGTTTGTATAGAGCTTATTTCTGAGCTGGGTAATCTAACACACATGCATCCTTTCCCCATCCTACTCTGCATCCCTAGCTATAGCGAGGCTGTACATGATGGGCAAGGATACTGTAATTGTAAATGGTAATTTGAGTTAGTATTACCACCTGGGGGGACAGTGCAGTGGTTAACATTAATTGACAATTTGATCATAGTGCCACTGCTCACTTCATTTCTTTGGGGGCCCCACCCCTTCCCCATTGAGGGGGGGGGAAAGGTTCTGGCTTGTGGTCCCCGGTAGGCTTAAAAGAACTCTGTGACTGATGGCACCTAGTAGTTTAGCACTGTAGCAGCATTGTAGCTTCAGGGAGCTCTCGGGGCTTACCCAGAAATTGGCATTTCAATACATTTAATGCTGGTTTTATATACTGTACTGTATTTTAATTAAGCATTGCACATATTGGTGAGAGAATTGCATACTAAGAGTAAAATGCATTAAGACTTTTTCAAATACCAAAAATATATTTCAGAATATGGTGGACTTGGTCTGGATTACAGTTACAGTGTGGCAATGTCAGAGACAATGGGCACCATCAACTGTGGAGCTATTCCAATGGCTGTGGCTGTCCAGACTGACATGGCAACTCCTGCTTTAGCCAGGTAATGGACAGTCTTTTGTGAATAAGTAATCACTTAGAAGTGGTCTCAAAATCACCAGGGTCTGTTTGGTGCAGAGTAAAAGATTTTAATAGGCCTATAGGTTTTTTCTCTGGATTTTGTATTGAGGAAAATCATACTGCTTTTAGAAGAGAATACAGTATTACATAGCCAGCTATACTTAGACAAGTATGAGCAAGTCCTGCAGAGGCCTAGTAGTTACAATTAAAAAGTTTTAACTCCTCACTTTTCCTGCATTGGTGCTCGAAATTCTTCATAAAATCTGTTATGCCTGTCCCTTATTGCACTTTGCAGATGAAATAATTGTGTTTAACTATCCTCTTGTTGTGGGACCTAGTTGAAGCAGCCCCACAATTAGTTTAGCTAATAGAAATCTGGCAAGCGCTGCCTTCTTGTTTATGTGCTCGGTGGAGTTAAGTAGCCTTGACATGTTGTAGCCAAGAGTCATGGTAGAGTTCTGCTGGTTCCCAATGAAGAGGCCCAGCAGCCTATCGAGCAAACAATCTTCATCTTGTTGATGTTGGTCACTATTTTCCAATTTTGTTCCCATCTTGCTGTGTTAGTCAGTTCCTCTTTCACCTTTCTGATCGCTGTGTCATCTTTTGTCCTTTGGCCTGTTGGTCTTGATGTGACAAAGTAGATGTGGGATCCCTGTGGGACCCCTGTCAACAGGAGTCCCAGGAGCTACTGGAGCTCTACCAGAAATAGGTATTTCGTTATACTCGATACTGGGTTTCATTATATTTGATACATTATTTGATATAACGAATTCGATAATTCATTATATATGTTATGTTTCCGGCATAACTTAGGGATGCAGTTTCCAAGTCATTAAGTTTCTGCTGTAATATACTATACAATTAAAATACACATAAATTGCAATTAACTATAAATAAATATTGTTGTTTATAAGACACATTGTGTTATTTTGATTCTTAATAAAGTATTTGCTTCTTTAATTTCAGGTTTGGTAGTCAATACCTTAAAGAAGAGTTCCTAGTACCAAGCATCTCTGGGGATAAGGTGTCTTGTATTGGCGTTAGTGAACCCGGTGCTGGCTCTGATGTGGCCAGCATACAGACCACAGCCAAGCGGCAAGGGGATGATTTTATTATCAATGGTCAGAAGATGTGGATCACGAATGCGTGGCAGGGTGATTGGATGTGTCTGTTGGCAAACACTTCCCAGGGTCCAGCTCACACAAATAAATCCCTTATTTGTGTGCCTATGGATACTCCAGGTACATGCTTTGAAATGATGTGTTTGTGCCTACTATTTATATACCACTAATTAACTTTATGGGTGGGAATGCAAGAAAATATTTGTTGAAAAAGCAAATTATTATTCTATGAATGTTTTTCCATCAAACCTATTTTTTTAGGTTTCAATGTATATTATAATGTCAAATTATTTTGTATTTTCTGAATGGTCAAGAAATCATATGCACATGGTAAATGGCTGTAATGTGTTTGTGGCTATAATGAACAGGGGTCTGCGTGGAGTGTTTGTACCTCCCTTCATGTATGGATAAGAGCTGCTGGTGTGGTAGGAACATGAAAATCAAGTGTAGTTGCATAATTGGACACTCTGTGATATATTTGGGGGTGTTCAAATTGCTAGATGCTTATTTGATGTTATTACAATGCTTATTCTGAGGAGAGCCCCTTGTGGGTTCCTGAAGCTACTACACTGATCCAGTGCCATACTGTATCAGTGCCGTATTCATATTGGTCTTCCGGGGACCACAAGCCAGAACCTGGTCCTCTCAGAAAGGTGCAGGGAGCAGTGGCACAATGAAAACCTTTATGTAAATTTATTCATGTCTGGTGGCTGGTCCAGCCCTGGTTTCCAGTGCTGTTTGTTTGGCGTCTGAACCCGAATGTTTTTCCATGTTCTTGCCTCTTTCAAAAGATGGGTCTGGTAGTGTACCTTGCTGTTCTGCCTTCTCCTCCAGTGTTTGCATCTGGGTTTCTGATGCATGTTATTGCTTTCTCTGTGGTAATCAAGTGGCTTGTTTCTTGGTGACCCACTTGTGGTTCTCTTCTGAGCAAGAAGAGGTGACTGTAGTGAAATACAGTGGAACCTCGCGTGACGAGCGACTCCAGTATCGAGCATTTTGAGTAATGAGCAAGCCACTCGCAGAAAATTTGTCTTGACTGATGAGCTTTTGCTCGATTAATGAGCGTTCCCCCCTGGTTCTTGGACACCTCTGACGACAGTGTTGTTGTTGTTTCGCAAGACGAGTTTTCCACATGACGAGCTCGGTGCGGGAACGGATTAAATTCATTAATCGAGGCGCTACTGTACCAATTTCTGGATGAGCTCCGATGGCTCCCTGACACCCTCCCTTTCCCAGGGAGTTAGGGTGGTTTTTCCATCATCACAGAACTGAGGGCAGAGTAGCCAGCTGACCCAGTCTGTCTCGCTCCTCCTCCCTAAACGAGGGGCGAACAAGCATACTCTAGTTTCATAACTATTTGATCATTTGTTTCCATTGTTGGGGGAGTTCTTTTGGCGAGTTTGATGCATCAATATTTCCTAATAACCACCAGTGGTATGTTTTATCTCACTGACTTTGTGGGTGCTTTCCAAGGGGTACCAGGCATGATTAAAATTCACTGACAATTTGATCATAGTGTCACTGCTCTCTGCACCTCTTTAGAGGGGCTAGGTTCTGGCTTGTGGTCCCTGGTTAGACTAAAAGAACTCTGCGACTGATGGCATCTAGTAGTTTGGCACTGTATCAGCAGTGTAGCTTCAGGGAGCCACCAAGGCTCAACCAGAAATTGCATTCAGTGTTTTTTTTTTGTACACTAATATATTTAATTTAATGAAATCTCAATTCATAGATTTACAGAGGTGACTGTAAAGAATCATTAATGGTAGCTTGAGGCCCATTATTCTGGCAATTTGAAGTTCAGGACAGAAAGAACAAACTTTAACATGCTTATCAAATCTATGCCAGAAAAAGTTAATAATTTGTATAAAATTAACATGTGGTAATTACTAATAAGGATCTTCAAAAACATAGACAAGTCTTCTAAATATGAAATTTATTGATAATTTTTGTTTGCATTTTAAGGTATTCATCTGACAAAGAAAATTGACAAACTTGGAATGCTGTCGTCGGACACCGCACAAATTTTCTTGGATAATGTTAGAGTACCTGCCAAAAACTTGGTTGGAGACGAAGGAATGGGTTTTACATATCAGATGCTGCAGGTTAGTGCTGAGATTTGCATGTGCCTGTGGTAATTATGCTTTTGTGTATCATTGGAAGCTGTTTTGATTAACAAGAAATTTACCAACTCAATTGTAAAACATTTTCAACTTTCTTCTCCCATGTACAAATCTAAAAAAAAAAAATTCTCCTTAGAATGTAAAATTTTTCTTCTGAGAAATAAAATGCAAAACAAAAGTACAAATGGGGAAGGCACTGAATGTCAAATATCTCTTCCTCTTTCTCGGTGAATATCAAATCCAGCATGGAGGGAACATCCCCTTCCCTCATCCTCGTAGCTTGTTTAACGTGTTGATAAACGAATGTCTCCAGGATGAGGTTTATGAACCTAAAGGTCTAAAAGTCCTCTGTTCTAACTTTATAGGCATCCCAGTCGATGGATTTCAAGTTGACGTCACCGATTACTGGCAGTTATGATCTATCTTTATCCACTCTTGTTATAATATTTCTCATGAATGTTACGAGGCCCTCTCATTTATTATTCAATTATTCAACTCTTTATTTATCCATGTATTGCATGACAGGGGACTGAATGCATTAGTGATTATCAGTTTATCGTTCTAATTACAGATTTCCAATGCTGTTAGTCAACTTCTTGTAAATTGGCAATCATTATTTCATTTACCTTTAGGTATTCTTTCACCACCACAGCAACGCCACCACCTTTCCTAATTTTTCTGTCCTGTCTCCAAGCTGGGTAGCCCATTGGGAATATGACCTCATGTAAAATATCATCATCGAGTTTCGTCTCCGTGAGTGCAACAATGTCTGGCATCTGCAGCTGTATTACATCACGTTGCTTCAGTATTTTTAATCACACTCCATCTATGTTGGTGTACACAATTTTCAGGAACATGTTCCCTCTCCCCTTGTTCTTTACTTCCCCTTTCTCTAGTGATTTTTTTGGTTTGCCTTTTTATACCATTGCATAGGCTTGCCTACCCCTATCACCTTGTAGAAAAATGAATTGATTTCTTTTTCATTCCTGCTTTTATTTAGACGTTTTGCCTCTACGAGGTTCAGTTTCATCTTCTCTCCATCTTCCTTTCCAAGATTTCATCTTAATGTAATCCTTGATGTAATTACTGATCCTTGTAAGTTAATGGCTTGAATTCTATCTCTTTGTACTGAGCAGTGGTGTGGTGGTGCTCCTACAACTGTACTAAGATAAAATAAGATGTTTATTCTGATTAAAGTACATACATTGAAAATGAGTTACAAACATAATGTTAGATTATAGATAGAGCTAGTACATACAATGCCTGAAGCCACTAATACGCACAGCATTTCGGGCAAGGTGAATACCCCCTGCCAGTGCAATATCTGCTATGGCTTCAGTTAATTCATCAAGTTCACTTTGCCTATCTCCCTCAGGTAAATCACTGTCAGGATCAATTGAGAGAAATGAGGTATTGGAAGTATTTAGGGATGACCGGCTCCACGAATTCGTTTCACCTGACTCGCCTACGGTATCAGTATTATTGCTCCTGGGAGAAAAACTTGAAAAATGTGCACTGGACACCTGAGAGGATGAGATATTCATATCCCAGACAGGGAAAAAGATGTAGATACTAATGGCATGGACACGTAATTGGGACACATTATTAGGTGAACTCATGGACAAAATAACATATATCACCACTGTTAAACATAAAAATCTGAACATGCATGAGAACCAAAATGTACAAGTCCTCACAACACAGGACCTGCATATGACAACATAAAATACCACACAAGTTGTTCACATCTCAATAGTATCAACAGTGTTGGTTACAAGGTCTAGCATAGATAACCAAACATTGGATAATAATGATAAATAAATGTGGAGACTAATATGATGCTGCCACCAGCATAGGAATTGGTGCCTAAGCACACAAATAAAGTTTGTCGAACTCCCAACACTGAATTATTAAATTTAAAGAAATAGGGACTGGACCTCAAATCAAGTTTGCCACAAAAAATATCAAACAAAATTAGCATAATATTAGGCTAAAACTTAACAATCCTTCCTCAAAACACTGAACATTTTTACTTTGTGCTAGGTATGAAAATTTATTTTAAAATTAGGATTATAGCTGCCACCATGCGCTAGATTTTAGACAAGGCAAGACAAAATGATGATTTATGTTATACGGCATGCTAAAACGATGTCAAGCAAAATAAAATTATGCAATAATTGAATTTTTCAACTTAACACGCAACGGCACAGGAATTAGTCAAGGAATTGTTGCAAATAGATGCCTTACATACCGTCACTAAAATTTGACATAAAAATAAAAGGTGTGGTAACATAATCCAAGTGAACAAGGCCTGAGTGGCCTGAGAATTCTGTGATTGATGGCACCTAGTAGATAAAATACACATTGGATATGCTAGTTAACTTTGTTCTAGGTAAGAGCCCAGTGGTGAACCACCACTGGGGCTCACCCAGAAATTGGCATTTCATTACATTTAATGCTGGTTTCATATTTTGTAATAGTTTTAAAATATCTCTCTCCCCAAAGTTTCAAGAGGAGCGTTTGGCTGGAGCTGCGCTGACTCTTTCACCGATGAACCATTGCGTTCAGAGCACCATTGAGTACACAAGGGAGCGTAAAGCCTTCGGTCAGCCACTGCTGAATAACCAGTATATTCACTTCCGCCTTGCCGAGCTGGAAACAGAAATTGAATGTTTGAGGGCCTTGATTTATCGAGCAACTGGTAGGTAATATGAACTACGATAATTTAGATTTCATTTTACAATTGTGCAGTATGTAAAGTTGTTGAAAGAAAACTGTAACATTCAGGTGATTTTTCTTGAGAAAATAAGAAATAAAGTGCAGTAATGCTTATGGTATATGGACACGTGTACTGTAAGTACATACCAACATATTGTATATATGTATATTCAAAAGTGCTGGCTATTTTCTCCTTTTCCATGTCAGTAGTGCATTTAACTCATGAAGATGTTTTAATTTAAACTCTCACAGACTTGTGGGTTTCCTCCTTTATGGGTTGACTTCTCTTGAGTCACCTTCCTTTTAGGCAGTGAATGAGGCTTGTCCTGTGTGGCAGGGCCTGTTGATGGGCAGGAGACAGTCTTTGTTTTCCTGGGTCTCCAGAATGCTTATTTGTATCGCTTTTGCACTCTGCATGTTTTGTCAGTGTAAAGATTAGTGTGTCCAAAATACAAAGAAAAGTTTCCATCTTGAATTTTTTGGTTTTAATGAGAAGTACCTCTTGTGCTGATCCATCATATCCACTAAGACACACACTTCGTTTTCGTTCCTGGTTTTTATCCATCACTGTAATCTGTGTCTGGACACATACTCCTGGCTTTGAATTCATATTCACTAAATTTGTCTCTAGTTTCCTGAAGATAGGTTTTCATAGACTTGAGAAGATTCGTGACAACAAGGATGTTCACATCCTTTGATTGCGGGACCTTGTTAATTTTGTTCATTGTTTCTAGCATGTCATTCCAAAGAATTGTGAGAAAGATTGTTTCTAGGTTTTCCATTTTTTGCCCAATCCTTCTGCCTCTCGCCTTGTATTCACTTGATGTTCATTGTCACCTTATAGAGAATCCAGTGCATATTTTATTTTCTCGAAACCCCCATACAGAGCACGAACAGCATCAAAATGTGCTGACCATCGTGTGTCAGACAGACGCTTGACCACAGAACCTTTTCCTAAAGATAATGTCAATACATTACAGCGATTAGTAGAACCAGCAAAAAATGAATACAGAAGCTGAACAAAGTCAAAGAATTTGACAGTCTGTAGAAACACACTGCTGCTTTTACTACCACCAAGTTCAGGCTGTGTCCAGCATAGGGGACATAGCTGGCAAACTCTTTTGTTAATGAATCTGTGCTTGCAATCCAGTGTATCCTGCAGACATATTTGAGGCATTATTGTATGACTGATCATGGCAGTTTCATAGTGGAATTTTGTTCTCATTAGGAAAATCCATGACAGTGTCTGTTAGATCCTTTGCTCCATGCGAAAAGATGGGGATGAACATCAAGAAACGTTCCACAGGCTCACAGACTTTAATGTATCAGACAGTTAATGTCAGTTGATCTGTATGAGAGATCTGGAGTGGAATCTTACACTTACTGAATAGTACTTTGACTCTTTTTACTTTTTCAAGAATAGTATAAAGAACGTGTTATCCCATTAATTCAATAAATTTCTCACAAATATTTGCAGATAATTATGACGGATTTCCTTTTCCAGGATTTTGGTTCATTTTGAGGTGTTTTTTCCAAGAAAGGGTAAAATTCACTCAGCACCTCTAGTATAGCTAAATAGTTGCCATTTTTTGCTGACCCAACAATCTGATTTTCTCCACGAAGTGGAAACCTCTAGAGGCAAGAAGGAGAATTACAAAAACTGCACATGTCAACATTTTGGGCCAATATTTCTGCTCTGAGTGATGTTGCTCAAGTGAATCTACACTTCCAGTTTCTTTATGCCTTATCAAATATGCTGTCATGCACTTTCGATGTTCTCCATTTTCATGTTCTACAATAACATTGCTGTGCTTCTAGTCATTGAACCTCAATGTAGCAAAGGCAGATTCACATTTGAACACATTGTTTGATAAATACCTTGCCCTCATATTTTCTACTCCAGCTGTTTTATACACTCTGCATGAGTTTGAAAGATTGCTATCATGATTCTGACACGATGAAGGCTCACTACAAATCCAGTAATCCGGTGGGTTAGTATCATTAATGTTCCATTGCCCTGGATCTGTCTCTTGGATTGCAAACTCCTTTACCGTTAAAGATTTGGGTATTTCCTTTTGTAAAATGTCACAAGTAGCCGCAACAGGTGATGATGGTATGTCTGTTGAAACTGGATGCTTGATAGCAGGAATGGATGTAGATGTGGATGCTATACCTGAAGGAACAGTACTAGTGACTGATATTGCAGAAGTGGATGCAGAAGTGGATGCTATATCTGAAGGAATGGGATGAGTGGCTGTTGTTGCACCTGTATTGAGCCACGATGTTAATTTTGGAAGTTTCCTATTTTCTCCTTCTCCTCTGCAGCTCTCTTTCTCTTCTGTGCTCCACTCAAAACATTATGTTTTATTTCTGCTGAAAGGGTTATTCACCTGGAAAAACATAAATATTTAATATTTACTTCCACACCAGGATGTATGGTTATATTACATAAGTGTGCTTGCAACAAGACCTAAATATTTAGACATTCTGAGTCTATAATGAACATATCATATGCTTGTGGGGCCCCTATGCTCGTGTGGCCTCTGGATAAGTGCCCATCGGGCCGATGTGGTAAGACGGCTCTACTGCTAGCCCCTTGCAGAGATTAAGTATTAACGGTAATGAAATGCTCTTTTCTAGTGGGCCCTCCATTAGTCTCCGTTTCTTTCCTATTTCCTTCTTTTCATGTGGGATTTTGATTAACTGGTTCCATAATGATAGGGAAAGGCTGGCAGAGACCTAAAGTAACTTGGTTTTCTTGTGTGTATATTTTCTGTTGGATTTTCCTGATTTTTTGGGTGGATCTCTGATCCCAAACTTCCCCTCACTTTATAAGAGCCAGAATCTTGTCCTGGCAGGTGATGGATGGGTTTTAGAGTCCTGGTGTGTTTAGCAAGGCTTGGTAGTACCAGAGTTAATTTCAAAGAGCTCTCGAGACCGACCAGAAAAGGGCATTTTGTTTCATTCAGCACGTTATTTTTGTTTGCCAATTTAAAAATGTGTTTTTACTGTACAACTCATCTTACTTCTCCTGTTTCATATAGGCTACATTCCTTGGATGCTGTGGGTGTTGTCTATTTTCATCTTCATTTTTGCAGAGAAACCACTTCAAAATGTTATTTCAGATACTATATGTTTCACAGCAGTATAAGCTTAATTTTTTGTAGTACTGATATTGTTGAAGAAACCACATGTATCAAGACTTCTTATTTTTGCAGATATGTATGTAGCTGGAGATGACGTGACAAAATTAGCCTCAATGTGTAAACTGAAAGCTGGTCGCTTGGCAAGAGAAGTGTCTGACTCATGCCTTCAGTTCTGGGGTGGCATGGGCTACACAAATGAGGTATGTCTTTATTTAAAATTATGCAAATTTGCAGTGATTTCATCACAACTATTGCACTTTCTTGTTACCTTCAGGAGTGTAAGGGTCACCAAGTGCAGAATACAGTATTCCTAAAGGATTAAATCTGTTCATGGCCCATAATATAACTTGTAACAAAATGTTAAACTTTAAAAATAACAGTACATCATTACTTTGCTTGCACTTCAGCCCTAAACCCTTTCTCATTCAAAGTTAACCAATCTTTAAGCCTTCAAGTGCACATCATAGCTAGGGATGTTGTTGCTAATTATCCGTAGGCTGTGTGACATGGTCAGAGATGTTTTAAGGTACCGTGTTAGATTTAAAAGTCCCACAGGTACACATCTGCTTCTTCAGGCCTCCAGTAAACAGACAAAATTTTTTTTTGGGAAAAAACTAAATTGGGGGCACCCCTCTAGGGTGTGAGGGGCCTCAATGCTGAGAGAGTAACTATGACTTAGTTGCCATACCACTTAAGGCATGGTTTAGGGTGTAATAGGTAGTTTTCTTGATCTGTGTGTGTTGGAGATGGAGATATTTAATGCATAGAGGACACTTTGTTGGGAAAGGAGAATGGATTTTGAGAACTTTAGTGTTAGGTGGGTGATACTAGACTTGGCAGCATGTAATGTGCCAAGTCCAGCACATTCTTATATGCCCAATGAATATGCATATGAGAATGTGCCTTGTACTGTATGCACATTTGTTGCACCAACTTCCTGATTGGATATGACGTATCTTGGTGTGGACGTATTGAGTAGCAGGTATCAGCTCTGCAGATTCTGTTACAGCTGCTGCACCATAATAGATTATGTCTGAAATGTAACAGCAGTGTTGTGTCTTGACAGGTTTTAATAAGTCGGTGCTTCCGTGACATGCGACTGGTTTCAATTGGGGGTGGAGCAGATGAAGTAATGCTGGCTATCATCTGCAAGTTCATGGGCACACTCCCTCAGTTACCTAAGAAGAAATAATATACTATGTTTATTAACTCCTTGAAATGGGTGAGCGACCTGAAAAAACTTAATCATTTGTATCATCTTCCATGTCTGATTCTAAATTTAGTTATATATATATCTTTCATATATCTTAGGAACCTTAAAGACATCTTTATTTTATGGAAATAATAATAAAAATATAGCATAGACTAGTTTGGCTAATACAGCAAAGACTTTGATGATATTTCATCTTTTCTCCATTGAATTATGTTTACATAATTTTATATTCAATCTAAATGTATATATTTTATATAATGTTCATAATTTAATGATTAAATGCAGTTATTACTAGTTAGATAAATTTTCTTAACATTTGGTTTGAGAAATATTGATCAAAGCAGTGATGTAATAACCAAGGCCTATATTTCAACCTATCACTGTCAGCAATCCAACTAAATAAGAGAACTCGTTCCTTATTAGTGTGCAGCTTAAAGGTTCAACCATAGTAACCAAAGTAACATACTGGTAATATCTATACTCGAAACAAATTGTTGAATAATCAAATATAAATGGCCTAATATGAAAATTTTTATTAAGCATTATACAAATGTGTTCTAATTAAGCTGAATTCTGGCTCACAGCACATATTTAGAGTTTGAAATTACGAGTTTTTATACCGAAAATATGCCAGTTAAAGAAAACGGCGATGGGTCATATTTTGCCCAAACCCCCCTGCAGTTTTCAAAATATCTGAAATGTGTGAAATTTGACTCCTGAGCGTGATTTTTTAGCCGAATTCTGACTCTCTGCACCTATTTTCATTTTCAAATTACAACCCTTTATACTGAAAATATGCCAATTACTGAAAACTGCAATGGGTCATATTTTGCCCAAACCCCCCTGCAGTTTTCAAAATATCTGAAATGTGTGAAATTTGACTCCTGAGCGTGATTTTTTAGCCGAATTCTGACTCTCTGCACCTATTTTCATTTTCAAATTACAACCCTTTATACTGAAAATATGCCAATTACTGAAAACTGCAATGGGTCATATTTTGCCCAAACCCCCCTGCAGTTTTCAAAATTTCTCAAATATGTGAAATTTGACTCCTGAGCGTGATTTTTGAGCCGAATTCTGACTCTCTGCATCTATTTTCATTTTCAAATTACAACCCTTTATACTGAAAATATGCCAATTACTGAAAACGGCGATGGGTCATATTTTGCCCAAACCCCCCTGCAGTTTTTAAAATGTCTGAAATGTCGAAAATTTGACTCCTGAGCGAGATTTTTGAGCCGAATTCTGACTCTCTGCACCTATTTTCAGTTTCAAATTACGACGTTTCATACCGAAAATATGCCAATTACTGTAAACGGCAATGGGTCATATTTTGCCCAAACCCCCCTGCAGTTTTCAAAATGTCTGAAATATCGGAAATTTGACTCCTGGGCGTGATTTTTGAGCCGAATTCTGACTCTCTGCCCCTATTTTCAGTTTCAAATTACGACTTTTTATACCGAAAATATGCTAATTATTGAAAACGGCGATGGGTCATATTTTGCCCAAACCCCCCTGCAGTTTTCAAAATGTCTGAAATGTCGGAAATTTGACTCCTGAGCGTGATTTTTGAGCCGAATTCTGACTCTCTGCACCTATTTTCAGTTTCAAATTACGACGTTTCATACCGAAAATATGCCAATTATTGAAAACGGCGATGGGTCATATTTTGCCCAAACCCCCCTGCAGTTTTCAAAATGTCTGAAATGTCGGAAATTTGACTCCTGAGCGTGATTTTTGAGCCGAATTCTGACTCTCTGCACCTATTTTCAGTTTCAAATTACGACGTTTCATACCGAAAATATGCCAATTACTGAAAACGGCGATGGGTCATATTTTGCCCAAACCCCCTGCAGTTTTTAAAATGTCGGAAATGTCGGAAATTTGACTCCTGAGCGTGATTTTTGAGCCGAATTCTGACTCTCTGCCCCTATTTTCAGTTTCAAATTACGACGTTTCATACCGAAAATATGCCAATTACTGAAAACTGCAATGGGTCATATTTTGCCCAAACCCCCCTGCAGTTTTCAAAATTTCTCAAATATGTGAAATTTGACTCCTGAGCGTGATTTTTGAGCCGAATTCTGACTCTCTGCACCTATTTTCATTTTCAAATTACGACCCTTTATACCGAAAATATGCCAATTACTGAAAACGGCGATGTGTCATATTTTGCCCAAACCCCCCTGCAGTTTTCAAAATATCTGAAATGTGTGAAATTTGACTCCTGAGCGTGATTTTTGAGCCGAATTCTGACTCTCTGCACCTATTTTCATTTTCAAAATACGACCCTTTATACCGGATATATGCCAATTACTGAAAACGGCAATGGGTCATATTTTGCCCAAACCCCCCTGAAGTTTTCAAAATATCTGAAATATGGGAAATTTGACTCCAGAGCATGATTTTTGAGCCGAATTCTGACTCTCTGCACCTATTTTCATTTTCAAATTACAACCCTTTATACTGAAAATATGCCAATTACTGAAAACTGCAATGGGTCATATTTTGCCCAAACCCCCCTGCAGTTTTCAAAATTTCTCAAATATGTGAAATTTGACTCCTGAGCGGGATTTTTGAGCCGAATTCTGACTCTCTGCACCTATTTTCATTTTCAAATTAGGACCCTTTATACCGAAAATATGCCAATTACTGAAAACAACGATGGGTCATATTTTGCCCAAACCCCCCCTGCAGTTTTCAAGATATCTGAAATGTCGGAAATTTGCCTCCTGAGCGTGATTTTTGAGCCGAATTCTGACTCTCTGCACCTATTTTCATTTTCAAAATACGACCCTTTATACCGGATATATGCCAATTACTGAAAACGACAATGGGTCATATTTTGCCCAAACCCCCCTGCAGTTTTCAAAATATCTGAAATATGGAAAATTTGACTCCAGAGCATGATTTTTGAGCCGAATTCTGACTCTCTGCACCTATTTTCATTTTCAAATTACAACCATTTATACTGAAAATATGCCAATTACTGAAAACGGCGATGGGTCATATTTTGCCCAAACCCCCCTGCAGTTTTCAAAATATCTGAAATATGGGAAATTTGACTCCAGAGCATGATTTTTGAGCCGAATTCTGACTCTCTGCACCTATTTTCATTTTCAAATTAGGACCCTTTATACCGAAAATATGCCAATTACTGAAAACGACGATGGGTCATATTTTGCCCAAATCCCCCTGCAGTTTTCAAGATATCTGAAATGTCGGAAATTTGACTCCTGAGCGTGATTTTTGAGCCGAATTCTGACTCTCTGCATCTATTTTCAGTTTCAAATTACGACTTTTTATACCGAAAATATGCCAATTACTGAAAACGGCGATGGGTCATATTTTGTCCAAACCCCCCTGCAGTTTTTAAAATGTCTGAAATGTCGAAAATTTGACTCCTGAGCGAGATTTTTGAGCCGAATTCTGACTCTCTGCACCTATTTTCAGTTTCAAATTACGACGTTTCATACCGAAAATATGCCAATTACTGAAAACGGCAATGGGTCATATTTTGCCCAAACCCCCCTGCAGTTTTCAAAATGTCTGAAATATCGGAAATTTGACTCCTGAGCGTGATTTTTGAGCCGAATTCTGACTCTCTGCACCTATTTTCAGTTTCAAATTACGACGTTTCATACCGAAAATATGCCAATTACTGAAAACGGCGATGGGTCACATTTTGCCCAAACCCCCCTGCAGTTTTCAAGATATCTGAAATGTCGGAAATTTGACTCCTGAGCGTGATTTTTGAGCCGAATTCTGACTCTCTGCCCCTATTTTCAGTTTCAAATTACGACTTTTTATACCGAAAATATGCTAATTATTGAAAACGGCGATAGGTCATATTTTGCCCAAACCCCCCTGCAGTTTTCAAAATGTCTGAAATGTCGGAAATTTGACTCCTGAGCGTGATTTTTGAGCCGAATTCTGACTCTCTGCACCTATTTTCAGTTTCAAATTACGACGTTTCATACCGAAAATATGCCAATTACTGAAAACTGCAATGGGTCATATTTTGCCCAAACCCCCCTGCAGTTTTCAAAATTTCTCAAATATGTGAAATTTGACTCCTGAGCGGGATTTTTGAGCCGAATTCTGACTCTCTGCACCTATTTTCATTTTCAAATTAGGACCCTTTATACCGAAAATATGCCAATTACTGAAAACGGCGATGGGTCATATTTTGCCCAAACCCCCCCTGCAGTTTTCAAGATATCTGAAATGTCGGAAATTTGACTCCTGAGCGTGATTTTTGAGCCGAATTCTGACTCTCTGCACCTATTTTCATTTTCAAAATACGACCCTTTATACCGGATATATGCCAATTACTGAAAACGGCAATGGGTCATATTTTGCCCAAACCCCCCTGCAGTTTTCAAAATATCTGAAATATGGGAAATTTGACTCCAGAGCATGATTTTTGAGCCGAATTCTGACTCTCTGCACCTATTTTCATTTTCAAATTAGGACCCTTTATACCGAAAATATGCCAATTACTGAAAACGGCGATGGGTCATATTTTGCCCAAACCCCCCTGCAGTTTTCAAAATTTCTCAAATATGTGAAATTTGACTCCTGAGCGTGATTTTTGAGCCGAATTCTGACTCTCTGCATCTATTTTCAGTTTCAAATTGCGACTTTTTATACCGAAAATATGCCAATTACTGAAAACGGCGATGGGTCATATTTTGCCCAAACCCCCCTGCAGTTTTTAAAATGTCTGAAATGTCGGAAATTTGACTCCTGAGCGTGATTTTTGAGCCGAATTCTGACTCTCTGCCCCTATTTTCAGTTTCAAATTACGACTTTTTATACCGAAAATATGCTAATTATTGAAAACGGCGATGGGTCATATTTTGCCCAAACCCCCCTGCAGTTTTCAAAATGTCTGAAATGTCGGAAATTTGACTCCTGAGCGTGATTTTTGAGCCGAATTCTGACTCTCTGCACCTATTTTCAGTTTCAAATTACGTCGTTTCATACCGAAAATATGCCAATTATTGAAAACGGCGATGGGTCATATTTTGCCCAAACCCCCCTGCAGTTTTCAAAATGTCTGAAATGTCGGAAATTTGACTCCTGAGCGGGATTTTTGAGTCGAATTCTGACTCTCTGCACCTATTTTCAGTTTCAAATTACGACGTTTCATACCGAAAATATGCCAATTACTGAAAACGGCGATGGGTCATATTTTGCCCAAACCCCCTGCAGTTTTTAAAATGTCTGAAATGTCGGAAATTTGACTCCTGAGCGTGATTTTTGAGCCGAATTCTGACTCTCTGCCCCTATTTTCAGTTTCAAATTACGACGTTTCATACCGAAAATATGCCAATTACTGAAAACTGCAATGGGTCATATTTTGCCCAAACCCCCCTGCAGTTTTCAAAATTTCTCAAATATGTGAAATTTGACTCCTGAGCGGGATTTTTGAGCCGAATTCTGACTCTCTGCACCTATTTTCATTTTCAAATTAGGACCCTTTATACCGAAAATATGCCAATTACTGAAAACGGCGAT